TTTCAGCAATGCAATTGTACTATTTGGCTATTCTAAGGTGACATTTTCCACAAATCATAACATATTGCTGAAGGTGCTGTTCTGACATTCCCATAAAAGAACTCTGTATTGTGGTGTGATCTGGCAAGCGCTGGGAATCTGTAAGTCATGTGGGGAGGTCAAGGAGGCCTCTCCAGCGGCTTCTTTGTCATGGGCTTTCTGAGGAGTGGGCACTGGGTGAGCCAGGGGAGAGGGAAGAGCTCAGAAATCAACCGCTCCCCAAACCCAGCTGGTGATCTGATACGTATATTTGAGTTTCTGTTTCATGCAGCAGTCAACTTTCTCTAAGAAATTCGCACCTTTGGTGAAGGAGCTTTCTGGTTTTGCTCAGCACTTGTTGGTACAATTTACCAACACCTATGTTCATCTCATGTTTGTGAAAAAAGATGTTTAAATTGATATCCTGTGTTTATTGGCACATACTGCAAAGAGTGAAGGTTGGTACTTTTGTGACTGCACACTTGCTAAAATCTTAAGCCAACAAGTTTTGCTCTACTGTTTGTGTTTTTACACAAAATCATCTTTAGAAGTTGTAAGTCCAGGTCCAGAACAGTGAAAGAATTCACAAATTGTTCTACTTGGGAAGTGAGTCAGCCCAGTCAGTTATACGTCTTTCTTCATCAGCCTTGAAGAAACTCTTCAATGTGTCAGTGCTGTTTCCTCTGGCTCAGCTGTCTGAGTGTGGGAATGTCAGGGTTGTCTATGAGCACATCATCCATTAATTGAGGAAGAAAAGAGAAGCAGGAAGAGATGTGATCTTTCAGTGGTGAAATACACAGGAGATACAGGCACTGAGAGATTATCACCCTGATTCAAAATCAGCACCTTATGAACCTTTCGTGTCCACCAGCTATGTGAAGTGGTGGGCATTAAGATAAATTTCTTTGTTGTTCAGTTGCTCAGCCGTGTCTGACTCTTTTGCAATCCCATGAACTGTAACCTGCTAGGCTCCTCTGTCCATGGGATTTCCAGGCAAGAATACTGGAGTGGGTTGCCATTTCTTTCTCCAGGGGATCTTCCTGATTCAGGGATTGAACCCCGTGTCTCTTACATTGGTAGGCAGATTCTTTGCCACTTTAGGGAAACCTTAAATTCCATCAGCAGACACAAAATAAGTCATTTACACCCTTCTTAGTTACGGTATTTCATTCTAACTCACTCTCTTCTTACTCAAACTTCTCAAAAGATGAATCGACTGTCTTATTTTCACTTCTAAAGAACCATTTATTCCATCAATCCTCTGCAATCTAGATTCTGTACTCTCTCCAAATTTTTCTGGTGAGGGTCACAGTTACATCTTATCTGCAAATCCATTGGCCAGGTAACATGGTACTGGATTACCCATCACTTTACACACTTTCCTTGGGTGATCTCGTCCATTCATAACTTCAACATTTGCCTAGATGAAAGTGACTGACTTCTGCATCTGCCATGTCAGATGGGACATTTCTGCCTGCATTTCCCACAGACATTTCAAAGTCAACTTGTCAAAAACCATCTCATCATTCAGCATGCTCAAGACCAAAGGAAAAAAAAAACAGACAAAAACCTACCCTTTCCCTGTCTGTGTTCACTGTAACTGTTGTTGCCACTCACAGAGTATTGGGTATTGGGCATTGGGCTGATTAAAATCTCTGCAGGCGAGTCTAATGAAAAGTCAAGGTTAAGAAGGTGGGAGGAGGACAATGATGTTTCCTGTGATTTCCTTAAGAGCCCTTAGCTCTGCAAGCAGTTTGGACTTTTTCAGACCCTCCCTTTCCCAAGGGGTGAGGTAGGGGTAGGTGGGAGCAGACTTCTGCCTAGGACCTGGGCAGTACCTGTGCTGCCTTTGGGATCCTAAACATGGGCCATGAGATCTGGCATGGTGAGATCAGGGAGTAATACACTTCGTAGGTCAAAAGTACTCTGATAGGATTAGCGCCACCACGGGCCGGGAGTGACCTGCTTATACTGTTCGTAAGTGATGGTGCCCAGCTGCTCCACATCCAGGGCCTTGAACCTCTGCAGGGTCTCCAGGAGCTCCTCCTCCAGGGGGATGGGCCAAGGCAGCGCGGCTACTAACAAGAATTTCCGCCAGTCCACGGATTCCGAGCTTGTTACCAACAAAGACGCCAACTCCTGCAACTAGAAGAAAACAGGAAATGCCATTGGGATATTTGCATGATTCTCTTGTGACATTCCACCTGCATGCATTTCATAGTGAGAGGTTCTGGTGAAGGAAGTAAGATTTTCAGTTTGGTTAATACAGTCAGAGCTGATTTGCTCCCTCAGATTCTACCAAGCAATCCATGCCAGACAGAACCTAGAGAGTGTTTCCATTTTTGCTTCCTTGACATTTGTAGGTTTTGCTTACTGTTACACAAGGAATTGGATTTCCCAGGTGGCATTAGTGGTAAAGAAACCACCTGCCAATGCAGGAGACGCAAGAGATGTGGATCTGATCCCTGGGTTGGGAAGATCCCCTGGAAGAGGGTATGGCACCCCACTCCAGCATTCTTGCCTGGAGAATCCCACGGACAGAGGAGCCTCACAGGCTGCAGTCCATGGGGTCACAAAGAGTTGGACATGATTGAAGTGACTTAGTACACACGCACGCACACAAGGAATTAACGCTAGTGACCACAGTACACTTTGTACCTTTCCAACAGAGGAGGAATAAAGATGATATGAATGTGGGAGGGCTCAACAGCTTGTAGGGAAATATTCTTTAACCATCTTGTTTTCTTAAGGAGCAGAATATGATGAAAGCAAGCCTGAATCATCTACTGTTACTTGTTAGGATCACTCCATCTGGTAGTAATAGAAACAAACTCATTGGCTGACCCTCACAGTCTCTGTAAGGTTTCACTGACTGTCAGCATCATCACTCATTTTCGAATACTGTGTATGAACATACTACATGTCTTAACTTGAAGTTCTTTCATTTGTTCATTCAAGTTTATTGGCTGCCTACAAGGTGGGAGACCGGGGTTCGACTCCTGGGTCGGGAAGATCCCCTGGAGAAGGAAATGACAACCCACTCCAGTATTCTTGCCTGGAAAATCCCCTGGACGGAGGAGCCTGGTAGGCTGCAGTCCATCGGGTCACTAAGAGTCAGACNGATCAAAATAACACATTTATCCTCATTTTGCCTTTTTTAGATCAGAATATATTTGTTTGGGTTAAATTTAGGGATACTTGAATTACTAAATTACTGCGCTGGAAGTGCTAATTTAGTTATCTAATTGGCTCAAACATTCTGATATATTTTATAAAAGGTCACTAATATTTCAAAGGCTTTTGCTCTTACACATGAATCTACTTTACTATGAGATGTTTGCTTAGTCTGTTGCTCATTTCAAATTGCATGCACATGCATTAAAAAAGAAGTAGGAAAGCAAAAATAAGTGTATCTGCTTAAAATATGTCTAACTTCCATTGCAGAGGTACCTTCTAGAGCCAGGAGACACTCCTACATGTATTTGGTTAACTGTCAGGTCCAGAGTATACAGCTATTCTTCTTTGTTTAGGAATAAAAAGAGTGAAACAGGTGTAGAGTCTCACATTTTTCTTCCTATATCTAAGTTTTTAGCATTTCTCAAGTCCAACATGAACTTTATTATTTCCTCTAACCTTTGGGGAAATGTAGTAATCATTTTAAAATTTCAGTGGTTCAAATAAAATGCACAAGGTTCAGATCTGGAAGGTAATTTCCTGTGTAGCAAGAGTAGAATATATCTTTCTTTGATGTGACTGGCCATTCAGCAAGTTGTTCAGAAACAAATTCTCCATCCTTTTTGACCAAACCTGAATATCCAATTTTCTAGAAATGAGAATAACTTTCCCAGGTAGTGGAAGTTTTGGTAAAATGAGCTTTGTATGTGATACTACATTGGTTTTCAGATAAGTTAGAAATAAATCATTCATGTTCCTTAAATGAAACCAGAAATAAACTCAATTGAAACCATGAAGAGGCTCCAAGTATTTAAAATTTCTGGTAGATTTGTAAAATAGTTCCACTGTCTCTAATACCTATGGCACAAGCAAAGTGTTCTAAGAAAATACTTTCAGTTCACATAGGGTTTATTTATCTGCAGACTTTAGTGTGAAATGCAAAAACTATTTTGATCTTTGGCCTTTTTTCTTAAATGACCAAGGCATATAATAATATGACCTTCACATATAATGCAGTAATGGAAATAGATAAGCTTACACCTTTTGTTTACAGATTAAAAAAAAAGTTCTTTCCATTTGGCCCTAAGTTACTTATCTAATGCAGCCATCCATTAGAATTATCCAGGAAAAACAGTTAATTGTAAGCCAGGCCTAAAGACACTCTTGATCATAATTATAGTCTGGTTACCCTTAGCAATAACTCTCAGAAAGATGATGTCAAGATAGTACCATTGCTTAGGTATACACTTCACCCAAAGAGTGTGAAAGAATGTGTGAATATAGAACTAGAATTAGAAGGTTATAGGAAAACCAATCTTCGGATTTTTGCTTTGTATGTCTGGATGATGCCAAATGCCTTTAGTGTTTGATGTGAGGACTGGTGACTTTTAAATTTCAGGTTTTTGAAAACAGTTCTTTTTGCTAGGATCAATGATGAGGTCAATATTTATCACATTGCTAGTCACTTTCACCAAGGCTTTCTGAGTTTGATGAGCAATCTGAGTTAGGTCTTGTGTCATCAGTTGAGGATGGTGTTCTTGTATTCCATAAATGAATGGCTTTCCTAGGGTCAAAGTTGTTAATGTCTGGAGAATTCAACTGAATTATCAGGAGATCCGTCATGCTGTCAGCCTCGACCCTGGCATGCATTTGGGCCCTGGTGCGCTTCATCTGACTAAAGCCGCGTCCTGCCTCAGCTGAACTTGCAGGCAGGCTCAGCACAAGGTCAATGAGTGTCAGGATATTTGGATACTTGTGTAAATAAACAGAATTCACAAAATCCCAGGTGAGTTTGCGAATGTTCTGAAATCTAGGAGAAAAAAAGAAAAAACGTGAAAGATGGAGACTCCTAAGTTTTACCCCAATATTTATAAATCAACTAGGTTACTTATGCTTACCTCGAGTAGATCTCCAATTTCATCATGCTCCATTCTGTGTCTACTTGGTCAATTTTCACCTTGGCTGCCTCTAATACTGGTTCATAATGTGCAATCAGGATGGCCACCTCTTTTTCTCCAAATTCTGCAATTGATATGCCAAAGAAAAAGTCACATATCTGACAGACACGTGTACAGACTTAAAGAACAACAGAATCAGAGTCAGTGCTCATGGGTTACCTTGATTTATTTTTGCCGGCCACAGTTTAAAGCTTCCAATCGTGGTTGCCTTCACCACATCTTGGTTGGCATCTCTGAAACAGCTTCGCAGCCTCTTGATAAGATGTGTTAAAACCGTGTTTCTCACATCAGAAATGTTTCCCTTTCCTTCCAGGCAGTTACCATGAAAGTGTGTGACTGAATCCACCCCACGTTCTTTCGGCCCTGGTCTGGGAGAGGGGAAAAATGCCCCAAGAGATGATTACACGCAAAAGCCTCTGGCAAATGGTTTCCCAAGTCCAGCTGTCTGGTTTTGATAGACTCTCAGATCATCCCAGACTCCTCACCTTGTCTGGTAAATTCGGAGCATTTCCAGTGTTGACTCTAAGGTGGCAAATATATCAGCAATTGAGGAATTTCTGTTCTGATTGACGTGGGACAGTATGCTAAGGACATTGACGACATCCACCAAGAAGTGGACAAATTTGACAACATCTGCCTGGAGGAGAGACTCCAGGAGTTCTTTGGCTTTCTGATGATTGCTGTCACTTCTGCTTTCTTCTGCCTGCGACACGGGTTGGGAATAAAACAGTGCTTTATCTTTCTCAAAATTATCTCAAATTGCTCAATAAAAGTTTTTTTTTTTTTAATCCTGAAAATCTGAAATAGTACCATATTTCAAATTACTTACTGAATGCAGCTGCTGGACAATTGCTGGATATCCCTTGAGAAAGTTCTGGAGGGCTGCCTGCAATCCCTGAAGCCACTTCCGGCCTCTGACTTGAGAGGGCATCACAGGTCGAAGGTGGAGGCCCTTGAAAGCAGTGACCAGAGCACTCCTGTGAGCAGGAGAATCGTGATAGAAGCGGCACATGCTGTGAAGAAGGTCTTTCACATGGTTGTAGAGGGGAACGCTCTGGAACACCGCCTGGTAAGATAGTTCGAGGTGATGGGCAAAGCAGTATACAGACAGCACACCTGGCTGGATTTCCCTTAAGAGCAGGGCCACCTCACTGCCGTTTTCTCCCTCTGAACCCGGAGCTCCACCACTTCCGAAACCCACCAGTTTCTTTGCCCAGTCTTGGTTCGACAGTCGAAGTTGAAGATTTCTCTCTAGAGTTTTCTCGATGGCACGTTTTATCGCCCGGGGCTCCTTCTTCTCCACGGTCTGTACCCCGACGATTTGGCAGTGCACTCTCCCTGCGCGTGCAAACTGCACATACACGAGTTCAGCTTCCTCAACGGAACCGTCTGCCATCCCATCACTGAGGACGGAGAAGAACTGACTTTTTTCTAACTTCTCTCTTAGAGTTCTCCGTTCCACTTCAGCAATAAAGTAGGTAAAAGTTCTGGCAGATTTACTGGTTCTGAACACGGGGCCGATATCAACGCCCTTCATATCGTCCAGCGAACACATCCAGAGGAAGTCTTTGAGGGGACGTCCGGTCTTGGCGATGGCGTGGCAGGACCGGAACAGGTTCTCCACCCTGCCGAGGATCACCTTGCTCATGGTCCTCACCATCAGCTCCGTGGTCGCTCTGCTCCCTGGAGAACCACTCGTGGCTTCCATGAGGGACGCCTTGGCGTGAGCCTCGCTCAGATGATGCGCGTTGAGAAATTCAGTCCTGAAGTTATCCGTGCCATAAAAAAAACTCACCTGATTTCCCTTTGATGTCACTCCATGTTTACGACACAGGCCGCAGAACATAAGATTTAGTATCTCATCGTATACAAGCCAAGGGTATTTTTTAAGCCAAATTTTCAAAAATTGATTGTTCCTCTTTGGGAGGTAATGGTCAAGCTTCCGAGGCCTTTTCTGTTTCTTGGTGAATCCACTCACATCGTCTGGAGGATCCCTGCCTTTAAAATAACTCCATGTTGTTATTTTAAGTGATTTCCGATGCCCACTGGCAATTTTAATTCCTGTCCCCCACTCTGAACTTATTATTTCTAGAACAATCCTAGGGAGGGCTTACCACTTACCAGGCAATTTGGGTAGTGCTCCAAGTGTTTTGTATCGTTTACTTGTCATCACCCAGTATCCCTATTTTGCATGGTTAAGAAAGTGGGTCAGTTACTAGTACTGATAGCCAGTTTGTGGATTAAAAAACCTAAGACACAGAGAGGGTAATTAATGTGTCCAGTGTCACAGTGGCCATCCATGGTGGAGTTGGGGTTCGCTAGCAGGTGGTCTTACTTAGCCCCCCTCTGTTATACATTTCGTATTACAGGTTTCTCCTGTGGGCAAAGGGTGCTATGGTCTCCTTCTCCCCAGAATCTGTTTCTCCAGGCAGGAGAGGGGCAGGGTCTTTTGCTGTCATTGCCTTCTCTGGGTGAAAACAGGAGAATCACAGGACACGGAGGGCCTTGCCTCGGCAGGGTTTGCTTTGGACACCTCTCCCCTCCCGCCTCGGCCCCACTTTCGCTGGCATTGGTTGGCTGCTACAAATAGGGTGTCCTAGTGGGAAGCTGTTGTATAGCACAGGGAGCTCAGTTGAGTGCTCTGTGATGACCTAGAGGTGGGTTGAGTGGAGGGGAGGTGGGTGTGGAAGGGAGGCTCAAGAGAGAGGGGATATGTGTATACTTATCACCTTGTTGTACAGCAGAAACCAACACAACACTATGGAGCTATTATCCTCCAATCAAAAATAAATTTAAAAAATTTACTGATACTAAAAGAAGTTATACAGTTTAGATTTTACATTTAGGTCTATAAAAAAAGGGGGGGAGGGAATCCTTCCTAGATTATTTTGCAAAGAAGCTGTGCCTCATCTTTTTCCTTTCCCTTAAGGTCTAATTTCTGACACTCATTTATCTGCCAGACAGAGGAATATGTATTTATCTGGACAGAAGGACAAAATAATTAAAATCACACAAAACTCCTAAAACACGTTTCTTCCTAAAGGCAGAGAGCCTAGACCAACATCTCTCTCTTCTCCTACAACTTCTGTGAAACTCCTGGTCATGAGATGACATTGTCCTATTTCACAGCACAATGAAACCTGGAACATGTGCTTGTGTGACTTGATATTAAAACGACTCATGTTGACACACACACTTGGTGTCTTTAAGGCTTTAGGGTCCCAGACATTCCCTCTTTAACAGACAGAACCACCCTTCTGTGCTTTGTCACATGCCAGATGACTGCTGAGCACTAAGGAGATGTTCAAGAAAATAAATCTTTTCTAATTGATCTTTTGGATCTCATGTCTCTTAACATCTTTAAATTGAAAACCTTTGCACTCATGTCAATCTGCTTCTGCCTCTTACTTTACTGGCTTCTAATTTATATTTTGTCTTTTAACCAATCCTTTTGCAGTTGTTGTTGTTAAAACAAATCCTTATTTATTTTTAGATCCTAAATTTTCCATTTTTCATTTAAACCTAGCCTCCTTATAGCTGGGACCCACTGCCTCCACTATCTTACCCGCAAGTTGGGTAACTTTTAAGCTTCCCACACTAGACCCTCAGCACCATGCTGGGTGCCTGCTCTAACACGTGAGAGTTGGTGAATACAGGAACAGCTGCATGGAAAAAAGCAGACTCTGGTTGTTGAATGAAAAGACTTTCAACTTTCTCTACTAATTTAGCTAGTTTTTACATCTTTAGCTTTCTGGCCAGATTCTACAGAAATGCTATCTTGAATTCTAAGCACACACTTTTTCACTGGCCTCATGTAAATTCTCTGGTTTCATGAGACTACATTCCCCTTGAAGAGATACCTGGAACTGTACCCACAGACTATTCTACCAGGTCCAAAGGCTTCTAGATTTACTACTGTTTCTGTGATGTGACTCTGAGCAAGCGGAAGGAGTTTCCAGGCTGAGAGAAACATAGGGCTCCTGAGTGCCACACTCCTTCCTGCCTTAATCCCTAGGATTTGCCACCTGCTTAGATATTCTTATTAATAACATCAATCCTTTCTTCTGCCTTTTCTAAGAAGCGTGAAAGTGTTAGTCGTTCAGTCGTCTCTGATTCTTTGCGACCCCATGGACTGTAGCCCACTAGGCTCCTCTGTCCGTGGATTTTTTCAGGCAAGAATACTGGAGTGGGTAGCCATTTCCTTCTCCACTTTTCTAAGAAGTTTTTCTGTATTTCTTGATTTGAGTAAATGTCAGACTAATTTACTTTTCAGATCAAAATAGGGAGCTTACTTATCTGCAAAGTATGGTGTCATAGTTCTAGAATTTTCTCAAAGACCTGAGCCTGGGAAAACCCATACAACTGTCTAGTCACTCCTTTCAGGGAATCACCAGGTACCCTAACTGTGCCTCTAGGGTAGTTGAGGCTTTCGAGAGAGAAAGTAGTGTCTGCTGCTCTCAGATACAGTCTTATCCTCCCTCCAATCCAATCTCCACATCCTTTGGCTCTAAATGTCTTCGATAATTCTCTCCAGTGTGGCCTTTGGGGGCAGCCTGAGGCTTCACGTGGGCTTCCCAGGTGGCGCAGTTGGAAAGAATCCTCCTGCCAATGCAGGAAATGAGGGTTCAATCTCTGGGTTGGGAAGATCCCCTGGAGGATAAAATGGCAACCCACTCCAGTATTCTTGCCTAGGAAATCCCTGATGGTCTATGGCCCCTGTGGTTGCAAAGAGCCGGACATGACTGAGTGACTGATCACACAATCTTAAGATTTCACAGCTTGACCACAAGCTCTTTGTGGCCCTTATTTCCTGGCTGGTCTATTGCCCATTCCCTAAATAGGTCATGCAACTTCAAAATCTCAGTGTTGATTCCATTTTCTTCTGTGCCTAGAAGACTCTGCCCCTGCTTCTCTTCCTGTAAGCTTCTGTTCAGAAGTTTCCCGTGGACTACACTCTTTGCTGACCCACACAGGGGCAACAACTACTTCCTCCTTGGATTCTTGTAAAAACCACGGAGCTGGGTGATATAGCTCGGCCACTACAACCTAGACTTCCTGAATTTGTGCCCTGTCTCTGAGATCAGTCACTGAATCCAAGGGTCTCCAAGAGGGGGTTGAGAGGAACACTTGTTATTTTTTAGAACAAAGTTGCAGGCCTTGAAAAACTAAGCACTGCCTCTCTTGAAGAAGGAGTTGAGGGTACAGAATTTGCTGAATTGTGTTTTCTCTGGATAGCCTCTGAGCAGAAATCAAAATAACTATGAACTGAATCTCTGTAAGATATTACATCGAGTACTGATGAGCTTACAAAGAAAAGGAGTCCTTATGGCTTAAGTGGGGACATTGGAACACTGTTAAAGTGTTCTAGCTTCAACAGACTCCAAATTGCTTGCATTGGAGAAAGACTCTCTTCCTGATATGCTTGGCACTTGATGTTTGGACAATATGTACCTACCCAGAGCTCACTTCGTACAGAGCTGAGTGTTTTTGGTTTGGAGGCTTACAGTCCCCAGGGAGCTGCATACCTCATGGTTCAGTTCCACCCGGTGTTGTGAATTTTCTTTTATTTTTCTGTATTTCTTGATTTGAGTAAATGTCAGACTAATTTACTTTTCAGATCAAAATAGGGAGCTTACTTATCTGCAAAGTATGGTGTCATAGTTCTAGAATTTTCTCAAAGACCTGAGCCTGGGAAAACCCATACAACTGTCTAGTTACTCCTTTCAGGGAATCACCAGGTACCCTAACTGTGCCTCTAGGGTAGTTGAGGCTTTCGAGAGAGAAAGTAGTGTCTGCTGCTCTCAGATACAGTCTTATCCTCCCTCCAATCCAATCTCCACATCCTTTGGCTCTAAATGTCTTCGATAATTCTCTCCAGTGTGGCCTTTGGGGGCAGCCTGAGGCTTCACGTGGGCTTCCCAGGTGGTGCAGTTGGAAAGAATCCTCCTGCCAATGCAGGAAATGAGGGTTCAATCTCTGGGTTGGGAAGATCTCCTGGAGGATAAAATGGCAACCCACTCCAGTATTCTTGCCTAGGAAATCCCTGATGGTCTATGGCCCCTGTGGTTGCAAAGAGCCGGACATGACTGAGTGACTGATCACACAATCTTAAGATTTCACAGCTTGACCACAAGCTCTTTGTGGCCCTTATTTCCTGGCTGGTCTATTGCCCATTCCCTAAATAGGTCATGCAACTTCAAAATCTCAGTGTTGATTCCATTTTCTTCTGTGCCTAGAAGACTCTGCCCCTGCTTCTCTTCCTGTAAGCTTCTGTTCAGAAGTTTCCCGTGGACTACACTCTTTGCTGACCCACACAGGGGCAACAACTACTTCCTCCTTGGATTCTTGTAAAAACCACGGAGCTGGGTGATATAGCTCGGCCACTACAACCTAGACTTCCTGAATTTGTGCCCTGTCTCTGAGATCAGTCACTGAATCCAAGGGTCTCCAAGAGGGGGTTGAGAGGAACACTTGTTATTTTTTAGAACAAAGTTGCAGGCCTTGAAAAACTAAGCACTGCCTCTCTTGAAGAAGGAGTTGAGGGTACAGAATTTGCTGAATTGTGTTTTCTCTGGATAGCCTCTGAGCAGAAATCAAAATAACTATGAACTGAATCTCTGTAAGATATTACATCGAGTACTGATGAGCTTACAAAGAAAAGGAGTCCTTATGGCTTAAGTGGGGACATTGGAACACTGTTAAAGTGTTCTAGCTTCAACAGACTCCAAATTGCTTGCATTGGAGAAAGACTCTCTTCCTGATATGCTTGGCACTTGATGTTTGGACAATATGTACCTACCCAGAGCTCACTCCGTACAGAGCTGAGTGTTTTTGGTTTGGAGGCTTACAGTCCCCAGGGAGCTGCATACCTCATGGTTCAGTTCCACCCGGTGTTGTGAATTTTCTTTTCTTTTCTTTTTTCTTTCTGGAATCATTCTAAGATAACACTGTGGTCCTATGTGTTCAGTCACGTAGTCGTGTCTGATTCTGTGACCCAGTGGACTGCAGCCTGCCAGGCTCCTCTGTCCATGAGATTCTCCAGGCAAGAAATCTGGAGTGGATTGCCATACCCTTCTCCAGGGGATCTGGGGGATTGAACCTGCGTCTCCTGTGTCTCTTGCATTGAATATGTATCCTTTACCCGGTGGACCACTGGGAAAGCTCTGCAGGTACCTCTTAGGGCATGTGCATCTTCAGGATACCGAGCTCACATTCTGGATAACCAGCAGAGTTTGTATCCATATTGCATCATGTTATATATTACATAAGAATATAACATTACTGTAATTATATAATTAAGTGATAATGGCTTATATCACATCTGAATTGCACATTCAATGTGCCAGACACTTTTAAAGCACTTTACAAACATTAATTACTTTAATGCTCATAACAGTGAAATACCCCATTTTTCAGATGAGGAAACTGTGACTAAAAGAGGTTAAATAATTTGCTCAAGATCATATTACAGTCATTTGACAAGAGGGGGAGTTGGAAAGAGCTGTCTGACTCTTCTTACCCACGGATGGGTCTTCTTCCTCATCCAGCCATGGGTAAGAAGTGGAGATGCTCGAGTAGGGGCTGACACCATTCCAATATTGACTACTGTCATAATTCAGAAAATACCCACAAAATTCATTCTGTGCTGGGAGTATGCTCATGGGAATGATTCCTGGGACAGGCAGTGGAAAGAAGGTCCTGATGATTCAGGCTCTCTTACTGACTTAAGCTGCTCCTAAAATTTTAAGTATAGATCTTTGTTGGGTGGCAATAAATGCTAGCATGACAAGTCCTTTAATTACATTTTGCATAATTTTGTATGATTATCACATATAAGATCTTTTTTCCCTGGCATATTTGTGACAATCAACAAATGGTATTTTATGTCTAATTACTGCCTTTATCAAAGGAGATATAGAAATATGCCACATGCAGAATTTGATGAGGAAAGAAGGGCTGAATAACAGCATGACAGTATATGACACATTTTCAATTTTCCATTATCTTCAGTAAGCACTATCTTAATGACTTAATTTTCATGTGGATAACCAGTACTCAGCAAAAACTCTTTAAGCTTTAGTTCTATTAATATTTTGATACTAGTTATTCACAAGTATTTATTCAGTCACTTGTTTTAATGAAAGATTATCCATTTCACTCAATAATTTTATTTATGTAGCATAATTAAAAGTAACAAAGTGTAACTTAATGACATTGATAGCCCTTGTAAATTTGCTAAAATACTCTTACTACAGCCCTAGTAACATAATGATTGTTACATGCAAATATGTATGTTTTTTTCCTAGAAAAGATTAATCTATTCATATTTTAATTAATTTTAGTGAGCTTGATGCTGGCATCTTAGATATTATAGGTTGCATTGGACTATGTGAAATAGTATAAGAAAATGCTCACATTTCTTGGCTTAGCTATAACAGCAATTTTCAAGTTTAAGCAGGAAGTTTTGTAGGATTCCACATTTAGAAAGGTACTACTTTCAGCCAGTTGCTCTATATTTTCAAAATGGTTATCACTTCAATTAAGATGGTCTTTTTAAACTGTAGATTTTTAGGGTAAGTACCATGAGAGGTATCCTAAAAGATTTTCTAATTCTTGAAAAAAATACAACAAAAACTTCATGTAAAAGACAGATCGATGTGTATCCATTAATAATCACAAGAATCGAAGAAGAAAGACTTTAAGTCAGAGGATGTTTTGGGGGCCAAAGGAACTAGGAGAAAGGGTGAGTGGTAATTAACTTCTAAGATGTCATCAGAGAACCTCTAATTCTGTGACTCTGGGATGCAGGAAATAGAATGATTATTATTTTGTATTACCTTTTATACATGAGCAAAATGACAACCATGAAAATTATTTCTGTTGACAGACCACCCGACTCTGTGCTAAGTATTTCACATGAACTTAAAAAGTGCCATATGCAACATACATTTTTTCAAATAGTATGACTGAGCTAATAACAAAGAAAGGGTTTAAACTTTTTGCTTATAGACCGTAACTCATTTTGAACCTAGATCTCCAAATCCCACAGTATTATATAGCTTTGTCAATTCTGTGTCAACTACAACTGTTATTCTTAAATCTGGATAATTCTCCACCACAGGTGGGTGCAGGTGGTGCCACAGAAAGAGTTGATCTCTGTATCTGTTTCCGTGCAGTTCACACAACTGGTGAAGGAGAAGCAGAGAAGTCCCTGACCTTTCCATGAGCATCTGTACTCAAGTCTCATAGCTCCATGGTTTCTGGTGACTGTTCCCCCAATTTTAAATACCCTCTGTATCCTTGCCATCTAGTCTAGTCACTCTTTACTTCTTTCAGTTCCTCCCTCCAAGCTGTCTTTCTGCACAGTTTTCCTGACCAACCTCTTTGCACACTGATTCTCCCTTGTTTGCTTTGTTGAGCACTTTTTTTGTTTTTTGTTTATCAAATTCAGATTTTGTTTTGGAAAGAACCTAAACAGAAGTTTATATTTTCTTCTTCTTTGAATGCCTTCTCAAATTATGCTCTGAGTCCCTAGGGCAAGTGGTTTTCCTTTTACATCTACTTTAAATATATATATATTATATGTAACTATCTCCTTCTTCCTCTACCTCCCTTTCTTTCTTCTCCCTTCCTTCCTCTTCCTACCATACTCTGAAAATAGACAGTGAATCAGTTGATATCTTTTAATCCGGTTTCTAGAGTTAATCTAAGACATACACATGTCAAGTTATAACTGATATTTGTAATTTATTTATTTTTTTTTACATGTTGGCCACTCCTTGCAGCAGGAGTGGACCAGGGATTTGAACCAGCGCCCCCTGTGGTGAAAGTGCAGAGTCTTAGCCACTGGACCACTAGGGAAGTCCCTGTAATTTATTTTTAAACTTTTAGTTGAAATTCAGACTCTTGATTTTGAGTTTGGATCCAAGAATGTATTATGGCTATCATCATAAATATAAAGTCTCTTCTGAAAGGGACTATGAGTGGTTGATAATTTTCCACCTACTCAAATGTCCCCCAAAGCTTTAAATTTTGACCTGCTTCCAGTCACCCTCATTTAGGATTAAAGCAAATTATATTTCATATTTGAATTTTTATAGCTCTGTCTTATTTTATAGATAAACAATAGTCTGGATAAAATGAAAAGCAAAAGCAACTTTGAAGAAGGAAATATGTAATAAAAAGACATCATAAGCCCACACAATGGCAAAGAGGCTGGGATCTGCTTGATAAGGACTGAAGGAATTTCATGTGCTGGCTGTATAAAATTGAGATTTTTTTTTTTTTCCTGTAGCTGCTGATGGCCATATTTTTGGGCCTTCTGCCCCCCTACTCAAATGCTGCCAACCTGAGTTACTATGCCCTTATATCCTGGAGGTGTAGACCCACTCAAGCTAATTAGATGAGGTGACACTTCCCAGGGTAGGGGACTACCCAGGGATACAGTGGTTACACCTATTTCACCCACTGGGCTTAGCAAGGAAGTCTTTAGGCTTAAAGTAGAGCAATACTCTCTTGACTAATGAGATGTGGTTTTCTGGAAATACTGAACTTAAAAAAATATAAGTAAAGTACAACCATTATGAAAGTGACATTGTGTTAGTAATGGACAAAGGTCAGCTGACTATTCTCTAGGGAAAAGCAAATGATTTTACAGTAAGTAGGAGATGTTGGAAGACAAACCTCTTTATGTGATGCAACTTAGTTCAGTGAGAAGGGACAAGACCTTTGAACCTGAAGTGTCCTGAAGGATATATGACCATAGGCAAGTTCTCAACTGCTCCACCACTCAGTATCCTGACCCGTAAAATGCAGATGATGACCCTCCATGTTCTGTCGGAATTACGTGTGCTGTCAATTGATGGCACTCACTGCTGAATATCTATACGTAGAAACACCCAAAACTTTTTTTAAAAAAGCCTGTGTAGGTGCTGTAGAGTCATAATAATAAAATGTGAAGGAAATCAAGAATTTGTGTGCAGAAAATAATGTGTACACTTACATGTGAACAGATTAATTAATCAATTGATTAGGCAAGTATGTGTTAACAAAGGTTCTGCTCTTGGTCTACAAAACATTGAAGGAAAAGGCATACATAAATGGGAAATTCTCTACTCCTTGGTCTTCCTCCCTAGACTAGCTGGGGAGATAGAAACATAGCTCATAATCCCAGTAAATTCCCAACGATACTTAAATTTGAAGGATGCACAAAGCCTGTCTCTCAACTGCCAGATGGAGTAATGCTCAAGTTTGCCAAATTAGCCAGGGGCAGTGAGAGCAGGAGAGAATTACCAGGGATGAGGGTCGCCGTACTGCCAGTGTTAGACAGTGTTTTGCTCTGTTTAATTCAGATCTATGTTGTATGAAGCAAATACTAGATAAACTAGAATGAAGCAAGGGCTTGTTTCAGCACCACACGACCCCAGAAGGCTGTTTTACTTGTGGACAGGTGATTGCCTTCCTGGTTAATCTCAATCTTTTTTTTTTCTGTCCTCTTCACAATAATCACTTTTCCTACCTTTGGGCGCTGTATCTAAGAACTGACCCCGGAGGCTGTCAAGCTGCTCGATGGTCAGAGTGCTGTTTTCCTCCTTTTCCACAGGTGGAGGGCGTACCGGAGGAGGTGGGTCTGGAAAGACTTTCATATCGCCATTAATGAAGAAGTCTTCTTGGTCTAAATAAAGTTCATTCTGAATTTTGGTTGATGTTTCAATGTGATAGCGAGCTACCCCAGTTAGTTTTTCCACACTGAAAGTGGAAACATGAATAGGGTTATCCCCATTGAAAATACTATCAGATTAATAGTGTTTTCTTCTTAGACATACAGAGAGTTAACACATTAGAAAATATAGCTAAGTTAGAAAATTCAATCTGCATGTTTAAAAATTCTAATTTATCCTCAAGTCCATTTGTACAAAGGCAGTAAAAATAAATAAATATAGATTAGAAATAAAATACATGCTCATTACAGGGCTAATAGTTTCACATTTTATAAAAAACTGAACAAAAAAATGATTTTATTGGTATTAGGCAAGATTATGTCAAGAGATATATTTCATTCTAAATATGGGCCAGAATAAGGTTATATGACAGAAAAACCTATAAAATATGACTATTAGTAACACATTTATTTGGAATCAGGACAAGTTGTATGTAAAATGAATTAAAGTTGATAATGGATTTCAAGAAAAATGGCTTTTCTCCAACTTTATATAAAGGAGTTTGATATTATCTAAGACCCATTTGACAGAATGGACTCTGACGAGATAGCCCATTGAAATTGCTTTCCTATGTTTATGGAGAATAACGTCGTTGGTATTGTTTAGTTGTGTCTGACTTTTGTGACACCATGAACTGTAGCCCACCAGGCTCTTCTGTTCATGGGATTCTCCAGGCAAGAATACTGACATGGGTTGCCATTACCTTTTCCAGGGAATCTTTCTGACCTAGGGATTGAACCCACATCTCCTGCATTGCAGGCAGGTTCTTTAACACTGAGTCACCTGGGAAGCCTGGTGAATAGTAATTCCCAGCTAAATCACATGGTATAAGCAGGTTTGGAGCGACTGTGATGTGCTGGAAAGAGCCCCGGAAGCTGAGCTCTCATTGTACACCGTCTCCAGCCCTAGGTCCTCGAGTTAGTGACTTAAGCTCTCCAATTTCCTCATCTTTGCAAGGGAGCCCAAAACACATAACTCCATACCTTATGGTTATTAATGTGAAATCACATAGAGCATGGATTTAGGCTTTCCTAGGGATTATAGTTATAAGTCTAACTAAAGGCTACTTTAAAGGCCAGAGAAGTTTTATACAATAACTAAAATATCACTATAATACAGAAAGAATCTTATATCTTACAATAAAGATTGAACATGGCAGAAAAGTGTATATTTAATCTGCTTTTATATAACTCAGGAACACCAAAATATTTGTATACTAGAAACAAACAAACAAAAAAATCGTATTAGTCATTTTCTTTCAAAAGACAATCATGAATTTAATTACAGCACCCTGTNCTGAGAGACTGAACTGAACTGAACTGATATAGTTCACCATCTGCTTGATGGTGTTTGTAGGTTGGGGCAGAGAAGGGGCACTGGGTGGGTAGGGACACCAAATGCATGCAGAGACCGAGCCAGAACCAGGATATCAAAATAAGTGCGCCATCTAGTGGAAGATTATGAAGAGTAACCTCAAAAGGAGGGTAGGGTAAGGAGAAATACCAGGAGAATGAAAAGTGGGATTCGAAGTTGAAAGAGATCCGGCAGGTCTACCTATTCATTTTTTCTTGTCACTGGAGGATTTTTGCAAGAACCAAAACCAAGAGCATAGCTGAAGAGCACCAGGTTTTCATTTCTTGTAGCCATATTCAGGTATCAGAGAGAGACATACACACACAGTCCATCTGAGAAATATGTATCCATCTGATAAAAATAAGCATTTACACTTAGTGACCACAAGGATGGGTGCTGTGAACCCTAAGAATGAAGAAGGTACACTTTCATTTGTAAGTGGCAGGCAAAGATCAGGACTGTACATCACTGTTCTATGAGTAACTGTCTAATTATTTTAAGCATTATGGCAATGAGGTGACCAGGCTGAGGGGTATGTGTGTGTGTGCGTGTGTGTACGTGTGTGTGTGTGAGAGAGAGAGAGAGCAACAACTTAGATACAAACAATGAAGCTGAGGATTTTACAACAGAACTTTCACAATGAGGCAAGAACTGGAGAAAACAAACCATAACAACCATCTTCTAGCTGGCCCATGTTGTTTCTAAGTACACTTGCTGTTTGTATTCTATGTATGCTGTGACTTCCAACTTATCAGTAAATGTTTATTGCAAACTGTGGTATGGCCCAGAATCTAGCAGAAACCTCTAGAAGAACCTGGTTTGAGTGTTTTCTTTTACAGATGAGGCTTGTGGGGTCGGAAGTGATTAGGCATGCTGTAATTTGTGGACAAGGAGAGAGTCCCCATCTCTTGGTCTCCTGACTGTTGAGGGCATTTCTGCTCTGCTGAGCTGCTTTCTTACACCTTCCAGGGGAGAATTAAGAGGATGAGATGTTCTCTAAGGACCTGTACCTGCCCATAAAGAACAATGAGCAGTCACAGGTCTGTTTCCGCTCTAGACTACAGTTCTGTTCCTCACTAGAAATGAGGATCTAGAAAACCTTTAGAATCTAACAGAAAAGTAAACTGGCTGTCACAAGGGAATCAGCCTAATGGGGTAACCATTTCTGTAAATGCCTTCTCCATCTCCTGCTCACTGGACCTGACTAATAAGAAGCCTGGTATTAGAAAGATATGAAACATTATATCATGTCTAAAGAATAATTTTAAATTGCTTATATGCTTACCTCGTACACTAAGGTCCTCATGGGGCAGTGGGAAAACCAAACTATCATAAATAATGTGCGGTAGTGCCCTTTGATACATGACTTAACTGTGGTTAAAAAGAAGCAACACCAGTGTATAGGTGATTTCCTAAAAGGTCAAAATTCTATTTATAAATGTAATTCACATTTTTAAACATTTAACATTTTTTTTTTGTCAATTCTGATCTTCAGGGATTAGCAAAGTAAATATTAAAAATACTTAAAATGTCATGCAGTTCTTTACCTGGCCATTTCATTCAAGTACCTCTCACCGAGCCACTTTTCCATGAGTCTATATACATCGACCGCCTTTACTACTAACTCTTCCAGGAAAGCCAATGCCTTTACCTTTATCAGTTCAAGTCGGAACTGTGTAGCTATCTCTATTTAAAAAAGAGAAATAAAGATGTTTTTAATGTATTATGTGGCATGAACTTTCTGATGAACCAAATTCAATTTTGAACCAATTATGCTTTAGTTCGTGGAACATCTGGCACATCTTTGATATACCAACATGGATAATCAATAACCTATCCACCTTGGAAACAAAACAGCATGTGGTAGAGTCATTTGACAGTTTACTTAAACCAAAATTATAATTCAATTTTACATTAATTGCACTTTGTCATATACCATTTGATAAATTGGAATGGGAAAACAGAAATAGATAATTTCTGAATTTCAAAAAGGGGGAGGCTAATTAAGTCTCTTGATCTCTCTACTTAGAACCTTGGGAAGATGACACCATGTCCTTCAGCACAGGTGAGAGGAGGGTGAAGCCTATGGTCCCAGGGCCCATTGACATTCTGGGCACACAGTGAAGTCTGTGATTTCCCTCTAAACTATCTGTCCAATCTTTCTTCTTTGCTTTTTTCCATTGCCATGTTTTGACACTGATTTATGTCTCGCCTCCACTACAGCAACTACCTCCATCCTGCTTTTTCCAAGTTCCCTTCTGCNTTGCCGGCAGGCTCCGGCACCCTTCCCCACCTCAAACCCAAATCCACCTGCCCCAGAGTGACCCGTCTCACCTGCACACATGCTTCCAGGCACTTTCTGCCCAGAATTCTTTACTAGCTCCCAGTTGCCATACAGGAAATGGAACTTTCTGGGCAGGGCCTACGTGACCCTCCACCTCCCAGATCCCTTGTTTCCAGAATGTGCCTCAGACTCCACAGCTACTCCCCATCGGTGGGTCACCTAGCGCCCCTCCCCAGTCTGTGCCCCCATCGTCCCCTGCATATACTTCTAACATTCTTCTTGTTCAGCTCAAGCATGAATTCAATTGCTCGGAAGTCTTTCTTGACTTCCTGCTCATGCCCTTTGTCCTGTCCACCGGGCTCCAATATCACAACATATTATAAGTGATCATTTGCAGTTCTGTTCCTCTGTATATTTTTTTCTTTTGATGCTTTGTGTTTGTGTATATATGTGTATATTTTTCTCACCTACTGTAGGACTGGCATATAGTAGAAACTCAGAAAACCTTTACTGTGTAAATGTGTGAATTCAGCCACACTAGGAACCACGTATGGAATGAACTGAAGGATGACGTATACCTAGCTACTGAGAGCAGATGTGGGAACAGGCAATGGGACAAGCATGTGTCTTGACTTTCTGTATTCAACATCCTTCGGATTTTACTCTTGGAAATAAGAAACCAGGTGGTAGGAGGATGAAGAGAGGGGAGAAAAGGAGAGAATCAAGGGATGGAAAGTATCTTTAGTAGCTAATCGTCACTGAGTAGTTAATGGGTCCCAGCATATCCAACGCTGCATTTTTACAGATTTGACATTTAGTATATTGACCAGGCTTCTTTCCAATGAGGATACTTTGGTTCAATTTCTTGATATTTTCAAATTTTGTTTTGAATGGTATTTTAAGACACCTGGAAGAGCCAGGAGGAGATTACATCATACAAAATTGTCGCTCTCCATTGAGAACGAGGCCCTTGAATGTTATTGATCCATCACTAACTCTTCCATGGGGTCTGCTCCCAAGAGCTCCCTTTCAGTACTGGTTAACCTTTACTCAGGGTTTACTTGCCTAATGAGATGCCTAAATTATTCTTATTATATTATAGAAGCATAGCCTTAAGGCTTCTTTCAGCCTATAAGAGCACACCAACTCTAAAATATTGCTTCTGTTTTTTTTTTTTTTTTTTTGAGATTTTAATTACTGCTGATGCTCTTCTAACCTCTTCCCAAACTCCCTTTTTGAGATCCCAGCAGACAATCATACAATAGTCAGATCTAGTCTTCATATGGTTGCATGAAAACAGCAAACTGAATGCTATGCCTTTCAGTCAGTTTGCTTGTGCCTCACAGACACAAAGCCAGCCAAGGGCTGCATGCCTGCTGGTCTATCTTCTACTCAAAATATCATCTCAGTTCTTTCCAATTGCTACCTTCAAATTGCAGGGCGGCAAGATGCTCTTCCTTTATTTTGAGCTTCAGTTCGTTTTTTACTTCCACTTCCTCAGTCTCTTCTGCCGGCACTACTACAGAAGCAGCTTCTGCCATAGGTGGGGATTTACCTGAAAGGGTAATGAATCACGCTGAGATATCTGCTAATGGGCAAGTATACACACAGGGACTTGGACAAAATGCGTACAAAGTGGAGTGTGTAAAGCTATACATTTCTAGTGATTTGGGAAAGAGAGACCCCGGGCCAGACAGTGTGAGTGATGAAACATTAATAATCCTTCCTTGAGAATTCTCCATGTGGTATCTGGCTGGACACATATAAAAATGCCCCATTCATGGAGCATCATGGAAAAATGAGATATGCAGCTAGTGCGGACATGGTCACAGACTCCAAAGAGGGTGCAATTTAGAGTTTGGGGACAGAAATTAGCAAACCCCAAGATTGTGCTGGCCACCTGGAGAAACAACAGTCTTCAAAGGATATTTGCACTGGTCAGTGTTCCCCAGGTCCTCATTAAGAAAGACCAGAGAACAGCCTCATGCAGATACGTGGAAATGTACCCTATGGTCAAAAATCTGTAATTCACTTCATGTTTAAAAAATTAATTAATTAATTTCAATTGGAGGCTAATTACAATATTGTAGTGTTTTTTGCCATACAATGACATGAATCAGTACATGTATTCCTCATCCTGAGCCCCCCTCCCACCTCCCTCCCCATCCCATCCCTCAGGGTCATCCCAGTGCACCAGCCCTGAGCACCCTGTCTCATGCATCGAACCTGGACTGGTGATCTGTTTCACGTATGACAATATACATGTTTCAATGCTATTCTCTCAAATCATCCCACCCTCACCTTCTCCCACAGAGTCCAAAAGACTGTACTTTACATCTGTGTCTCTTTTGCTGTCTTGCATATAGGGTCATCGTTACCATCTTTCTAAATTCCATATATATGCGTTAGTATAATGTATAGGTGTTTTTCTTTCTGACTTACTTCACTCTGTATAGTAGACTCCAGTTTCATCCACCTCATTAGAACTGATTCAAATGCATTCTTTTTAATGGCTGAGTAATATTCCATTGTGTTCATATACCACAGTCAGCTGACTATTTTATGGAGTTCCCTGGTGTGTAACTAAATTGCATTTCTCTCGCTGCTTTTAGGAGTCTCTCTTTAAGTTTTGCCATTTAAATTATAATGTATCTTGGTATGGAACTCTTTAGGGTTTATCTCGTTCAGGACTGTGTGCTTATTGGGCCTGAATGTCAGTTTCCTGTCCCATTTGAGGGGAGTTTTCAGTTATGATTTCTTCAGGTAAACTCTGTACCCACTTATCTCTTTCTTCTCCTTCTGTTACCCCTATAATGTGAATGTTAGTAAGCTTGATGTTGTCCCAGAGGTCTCTAAATCTATCCTCTTAAAAAAATTTTTTTTCTTGTGTGATTTCCTCTTTTCTGTCTTCCAGGCTGTGATAGGCTCTTCTGTATTATCTAATCTACTGTTTATTCCTTCCAGTGAACTTTTACTTGCAGTTATTGTATTATTTAGCTCTCTTTGA